TCCCTTTGCAAGAACTTCGGCTTCGGCACCGCCTGTATCCGAGGCTATGCCTCCTCTCGGCCTCGCTCTGGGGCTCCGCCGCTTCCTCCCTCCTCTTCTCTGCCTAATTCAAGCTTCGCGCGGCCCGCTTAGCTGCGACCGGAAGCGGTGCGCTCTCGGCCCGCGGATCAAAAATGTCTCTGTGCGTCCCATTCGGTCGTGGTCGTGGTCCTCGCTTTTGTTCCCCTGCCGTTCCAGTGCTCCTCCCCCAGCGGCCCCACGCGTGCCGCCCTCGCCGCGGGCGCCCCGCCCACGTGCTGTGCCGGCCAGTGGCCGGCGCCGGCTCCGGTCGGAAGGGGCTGAGACTCAGGCGATCGCAAACCATGGACTATCAAGCATTGGCACAGCGTCCTGGCTCGCCTATAGCCCTACCAAACAGTGTTCTGAGAACCTTTTCTGTGGTTCCCACGAGATGTTCTTGGAACGTTTCTGGCGGAGCCTGTCTTGTTTAGTCACATCGGTTTCATGTTCTGAGAACATTGTTTTTGTTCTTAAACCATTTTTGGGTTCTAGGAACATTGCGTGGTAGGACTATAGGAATGCCGGGACGGTCCCTACTCAAGAATTAGGCGGCGTGGATTAGCGACGGGGCCCGGTTCCATGAGAAATCGTTGATTTCCGTCGCCGAGCGAGGCAGCACCGGCCGTAATTTGGGGAGGGCACCTCCCCCGATCCATGGATGTGGCGACCGCGCGCCAAATCCATGGATCCCCAACCCATGTTTGCGCGCCCCCGAACCTCCCTCCTCGCATCCCCTCCCCCTCTTCCCCCATCATCCCCCCCTCCGTCCAGCGCTCGCCAACCAGTGATTCTTGACATGGCGCTCGCGCCAAGCTGCTCCACACGGTCAGCGATGCTCGAAGGGGAACGGCGGGGTCTGCATGTGGCGCTCTTCCTCGGTGGGGGCTCGCGCCGGGCTGCCGGCGGCACGGGCAATTTTCTGTGCCTGCGCGCGCACCCGCAGTGCTGCGTGGCTCCAGCCATGCGGAATGACGATGAGTAATGGGTACTCCAGATTTCGGGGGGGGGTCTCATTTCGGGGGGGGGTCTCTTCCAGGCTATCTTGGAGGGCCTGGGGGGTCTGGGGACGATGTTTTGGAGGGTTCTCCCACGGGGGAGGTCTGAAATGGCTTGTCTTGGAGGGTCCAGACCCCCTCCCTTTATTACGAAATCTGGAGTTAAGGGGTAAATGCCGGGGGTGCGTCCCGCAGCAGCGCCCTGAGCGATGATAGACGAGTTGGGTCCGGGGCCAGCTCGTGGGCGTCGTCGTCGTCGTCGTCATTGGGATGCGGATCCCCCTCTCCAGATGTCTCTCCCGGCGGCATGAACCTGCGCTGTTTGTCGCAGGCCTAGAGGTTAACACCAACACCAAGATCGGCGGCGTGCTTCCACCGAGGGAAGCAGATCCCGATCTCGGCGATGGTGGTAATATTCCGGCTTCCAAGGTGACCGAACTATTACCACCAACACCGAAGTCGAGGATCATCGTTCCCCTGTGGAGGCAACCCCTTGTGTTGGTGTTGGTGCCCATTTCCAGGCCTCCAAGTTTGATCGTTTCTCTCCCTCTGCGTTTTCTCCGAATCGCCATCTTGCGCAGATCTGCCTGAACATCGGCGCAGGCCCCCAGTTTGGGAGGTGCAATCCCAGCTGGGGGAGATTCGGCCGAGGCGACGGCGCCCTGCACGTGTGCCAAATTCGAGGTCGAGGCAGCCTGCTCCGACAGCCTGCGGACGCTTGTGCGCTGGAAGGCCCTGTCCAGACGGCTCGCTTGGCCTGAAAAGTGCGAGTTGCTACGCTGCACCTTCGAGGGCCCTGCTCGTCCAGACAATGGCGGTCAACCTTCCCAGAGGACTCGACACGGGCTCGACAAGGTTTCGAAGCGGATTCGGCACGGAGTCGACGTTGATCCAGCGCGGATTCGACACGTTGGGACAGACAAGGTTCCCCGAAGGTACTGTATAAGATTTGCGTGCAACATTGGGCGTCGCCACTGTCTGCCTCTGCGCTCCCGCGCGCGCAGTGGGCAGCCAGGTTCTGGGCAGCTGGGCGGGGCCGCCCGGGGAGAACTCCGAGGTACAGTCGGGGCCCTGAAGGAGGAACCCTTTTCGTTGGGGAGGGGCTCGGTGTTCCTTACGTGTTTCACAGCTTGCCTCAGGTTTCCCTTATGTTTTCGACGGGAAATCGAAGCTCAACTAATGGGAGAAAGGGGCCCCGTTCCTTATTTAGGGCTCCTTAGGTCAACGCCCCGACTGTACCCTGGCCAGCAGGGAGGGAGGGCTGGGACATTGCAGACCTCCATCGAGCGCGCTCCGCTACGCGCAAGGTGCCCACTCGCAGACGTCCGACCCCACAAGATGCATTCTCCATGTTGCAGTGCACCGTGAGTCTCCCGCGGCGGATGCCGCTCATTCGCGCCTCGCTGCTTGGCGCGCAGTGGGTCGCGCTTGTCTACCCTGACCTTCCAGGAGGGCTAAAAAATAGCACGCGACTGAAAAACCTATCCCAGAGCTATTATACGTCTTGGTTTTAGGCTGTCTCGTTTTGTTGTTTGGGTTTTTAGGTCTCCAGTGCTAAAAAAAATAGCTCTCTGGGAGGTCAGGGTAGACACGCAGCGCCCACACCAGCGCCAGGCGAACCCCTCACAGCACGATGCCGCCAGAGCGCGCTGGACGCTGCGGCCTGGCGCGCCGAATTTTCGGGGGCCGGCCGATCTGCCTCTTCCGGGGCTGGGGACAGCCCCGCGCAGACCAAACCGACACACAGACGGACCGACAGCTTCGCAGCTTCTCCAGCCGCCCAGGGCGCCGCGAGGCCTCGAAGGCTCTGGTTGCTTCCCGACTCCGCCGTGCCCCCCCCCAAGGAGCCCACGAAGAGGTGGCAGCAGCTGCACAGCTCGCGGCCGCGCAGGGGCGCTGCGAGGCCTCGACGGCTCCGTTTGCTCCCCGACTCCGCCGTGCCTCCCAGGAGCCCGAGGCCCTGGGAGGGCCCTTGGGGGGGAAGACAGAAACCCAGAAAATATGAGAAAATATGGGAATATTTTTATTTGTGTATTTATTTGTGTGTCCTGGGGCTCCGTTTGCTCCCCGACTCCGCCGTGCCTCCCAGGAGCCCGAGGCCCTGGGAGGGCCCTGGGGAGGGGGGCGGCCCTGGGAGGCCCCAGGGGTGCCCTGGGGGGAATACGGTAGGTTCGCGTCGTGTCGACCGGCGGCGACCCCGGCGTGGGCGTTCAAGGTTGAACGCCGGCGGCGGCCCAGAATCGTTCGTTGTTGAACGATTGGACGTTGCGGAAATGGCCGATCGTTCAAGGTTGAACGATCCAGCGCGGTGTCAGAAACCAACGCCGGGGTCGACACGACGCGAACCTGCCGTACTACCCAGGGGTGGCCCCGGAGGGCGCTCGGGGCCCAGGGCGGCGGCGGGGGCATCCGTTCTCTGGAGGCACAGAAGATGTTTCAGACTGTTTGTCGCCTTTGGCCTCTGGGGTGAAGTCGGGCCTGCCCATCCACAGGGGCCCTTGCTCTGGGGGATCATTGCTCGTTGCTCTTTGCCAGGCCCCTTGCTCTGTGCCAGGCCCCAGGACGGTCAGAGAAGGACACGGGACGACCAACCAGCTCTTGGGGAGAGGGTCGGGACTTTCTGGGGAGGTCGTCTTAAAAACAAAAACAAGCGTCGCATGTCTGAGGGGATGGGACTGGAGGGCTCGCTTGCCCAGGGCAGGCGGGGTGAAGCCGCACGCGTGCCTCTTCTCTGACGACCAGTTGGAGAGGAGGGGCGAGCTGCAACATCTGATACGTGCAGCTGGCTTCGGCCCCGCCGCCTGGCGCCTTCTTCGACATACAGGGGCGCCTTCGTGGCACCGGGAGGCGCCGGACAAGTCGGCTGCTCGAACAGATTCGTTTCAGCCCCCCTCTCTGCTACCCCCCCGGGCTTTCTTCTCATCTGTCCTCTGCTGCGTATCGTTATCCACCCCTCTAGAATTACACATTACGGGTTCTACTCTCACATGTTCCAGACGTCGTATGGAAGATAGCCGCTTTTCTCAGCGTAATTATTGTTTATTCACAGTGGATTTGACAAATATGATTGTCCTGATGTTTGCATTGCGATCAGATTGCTTTCGGAGTTTCAACATGGCGTCCCCGCTGCTGCGTGGTCGGATCGGTGCTGTGCTTCCGTCGTTCGGAATGGCGCTCGCCCAAGCGCGAGACACTTTTCTGGATCCGAATCCTGTTTCTTCGTTGTCGAACCCCTCGGTTTCCTTCCGCCTTCCCCTGCTCATCCTGCTCCTCCCGCTCCTTCGATTCCAGTTCCTGCTCCTTCTATTGGTCTTCGTCCTTATCCTTCCACCACCTCCTCCTTTTCCTCCTTCTTGCTCATCCTCCAGCCCACCCGCCACCTGCTCCTCCTGTGCGCGCAGCTCCCCTTGTCCGATTGCGCCTCACACGCGTGGATGTTTTCGGAACAGCCCTCCGCGAATTGAGCAACAATACAAAAAAAACAACAACACAGCGGGCAGGGACGGGAGGGAGGGACAGGATGGCAGATGTGGCGCGCGAGCGCGCTGAGCTTGGCTATCCCCCCCCTGGCTATCCCCACCCACCCTCTGCTAGTCTCAAGTCGGGCCTGTCCCCCTACAGGGGGATTTTGGACGACAACTAAAAATACCCCAAACGTACACCAAAAATGCTCAAGAATAGTGAACGAAACAAACTATTTGTTTCCCTAACTATTCCCCAGACTATTTGTTTGACTATTTGTTTGGCGATTTTTTATTATTGTTTTTGACTATTTGTTTTGACTATTTGTTTGACTATTTGTGTGAAGTTTACAAAAAATCCCATACCACTTGTTTGACTACTTCTGAGTACTCGCCCCACCCCTCCGCCCCGAGCTCGCTCCCCCCCCCTGCCCCGCGCTGCCGGGCGTGGCGCCCCGCCGCTGCCGCGCCGGGCGTCGCGGGCATGCCGCGGGGCGGCGGGGACCTCGCGGAGGCGGCCGACTGCCAGGACGGCACCTGCGGGACGCCTCCCTCCTCCTCCTCCTCCTCCTCCTCCTCCTCCTCCTCCTCCTCCTCCTCCTCCTCCTCCTCCTCCTCCTCCTCCTCCCGGGGCTCGAGGCCTCAAGGTTCGAGGGCGTGTGCCCACGGCCCCGCGGGCCGTGTTCTCCCCTCGGCCGCGGCGCCTCGGACACGGGGCGGCGGGGCGTCCCGTGCGGAGCACAGCCACGTGATCGCGTCGTCGTGAGCTCGCGGGCAGGCCGCGGGGCGGCCGGGGCCTGCTCGCGGGGAGGGAGGCCTGCCCAGGTCTCCGAGGGCACGGCTTCTGCCACTCTGGCGTCGTCGGACGGGCCTAGGGAGGACGAGGACAGGGGAGGGAGGCCTGCCCCGGCTCGGAGGGCCAGGGCTCGATCGCCGACGCTCGAGGCCTCGAGGCTCGAGGAGCGCCACGGCCAGGGAGGGAGGCCTGCCCAGAGCTCCGAGGGCGCGGCTTCTGCCGCTTTGGCGTCGTCGGACGGATCTAGAGAGAGGACGAGGATAAATCCGTTCCAGGGCGTTCCAGGCCTGCTCGCGGGGAGGGAGGCCGTGCCCTCGGAGCTCTGCCATTCTGGCGTCGTCGGACGGGTCTAGAGGGAGGACGAGGACAAATCCGTTCCGGGGCGCCCCAGAACGCTCCCACAGCGTTCCGGATTGCTCCGAGGAGGCCGCGGCGCCCGAGGCATCCTCCAGAGCCGCCGGATCTCAGGGGTTCTCGATGTGTCCTCACCCGATGGCATCCTCGTCTGGGCTTCGTCTTCGGCATGATTTGTGCCATCTGGGCGTTGTTCCTTCACATCGGCCTCCTGGGAGCCGTTGTGGGGCCCCAGGGCCATCAGAAGTGGATGCAGGACGCAACAAACCAGCCCCAGGGGAGGGGGTTGGGTCCCCTGAGGCCGCGCGTGGAGCAGAGCATATCGGAGGATGTCTCGGTCTGGAGCCTGTTTTTCTCCGGACAGGGCTTGCATGCAGAGGCTCCTACTTCTGTTGTGTCTTAAGCAGTTGGAGGGCTCGCCGAGGATGTTCCATTATGCCGCGCCGTGCCGCCTAGGGGGAGCCCCCTGCGTTGTGTGGGTCGGGCGAGGTTGCGCCACATTGCCTGAAGTCGGGCCTGTCCCTCTACAGGGGGAATGTTCGAAAATAGTAAAAAAATAATTTTGGGACGATATTCTGGCTCTTTCAGATCATTTGGGAATATGTTTGGAGTATTTGTTATTTCTTGCCCAAAATCCCCCTGCAGGGGGACACGCCCGACTTATAAACGTTGCCGCCCGTGCCGCCTCGAGGGCGCGCGCGGGCGCCCTGACAGCTGGGTGGGCAGCCGAGATGGCGTCGCGTTGCCGCCCGTGCCGCCCCGTGGGCGCTCCTGGGCGCCCCGTGCTCACACCACAAAGCTTCCACGACATCCAGTCAAACATCCTAATGAGGACGCGCGACTTTGCTCAGGGTGCCCTTGCGTCCTCGCGTGCTTGGGGTTTTCGTCGTCCGCCGCCCCAAAAATCCCAACTATAGCTTATCGGGCCGGACGAAAGGGGGGGGTGGGAAAGGGGGGGGCACGAAATTTGCTGCACGCAGCTGGTTTCGGCCCCACCGAGGGGCCCATTCCTCGATACATAGCCGCCTCCGGCGCCGGGAGGCGCGGGGAAAATCAGCTACTTGAGCTGATTCTCAAACCCCCTTTTGCTATCCCCCCCCTTTCGCCCGACCCGAGCTTAGACCACATGTCTTACACCGCATAGCTCACACAACGTAGCCTGCGAATGATAGCCTGCACTGCACAGCGTTCACCTCCACAGCGCACACCTCATCGGTCACGCCAGTCGAAAGCCAGTTGCACGCATGCCTGGCCCAGCACTGGATGAACAGCGGCGCGGGGGGCGGGAACGATTGTGCCATGTAAGAAAATCTGCCAGCATCTTCACTAGAGATGGGTCCATACAAGCACCGATGCCCCCTCGGGCTTCCTCGCGCTGCGAGCCAGATCGCCCGGCGGCGGGCTTTGTCTCGTTTCGGCCTTTGGGGCCCTGCAGCGGCTCCTCGGGGCTGTCAACAAGTTATCCAGGATGAAACCATTTCAGGAGGAAAAGAAACACACAGACACAATTAATCCTCGATTCCCAAGAAAATATAGGAAAATGTGGGAAGTGGGGGGGAAGACAGAAACCCAGAAAATATGAGAAAATATGGGAATATTTTTATTTGTGTATTTATTTGTGTGTCCTGGGGCCCCTTCACAATTGCACTGATAGAGGAGGAGTCCAGAAGTCTGTGGGACCGCGCTGTGCTGCAAACACTGCGTCGGAGTTCTGGGCCTCCCTTCTTGCCGCCTGGTCGGGCCTCCTCCCTTTCGGGCAGGCGGGCAGGCAGGAGCCGCGCCCGGACGGCGCACCGGCAGAAAATCGCATGCAGAAGACATACTCCAGATTTCGTAATAAAAGGGAGGGGGTCTGGACCCTCCAAGACAAGCCATTTCAGACCTCCCCCGTGGGAGAACCCTCCAAAACATCGTCCCCAGACCCCCCCAGGCCCTTACGAAATCTGGAGTACCTGAAACACATGCAAGCACACCTGCGTGCAGGCGCAGTGCCTCGGTGGACAAGCGCCGGACCCTTCGTTCCGGAGCGTCGCGAGGGGAAGCCGCATCTGTACTCGAGGGAGGGGGAGGGGGGAGCAGGGAGGGAGGGCGGGAGGGTAGGAGGGGAGAGGGGAGAAACTATCCACAGTATTCTTCTACTCCCTTTCGGTGGACGTCCACAAGCCACCTCACCGATCCTGGCCCGGCGGATCCTGGCCCAGGGTCGGGGTCTGTCGCTCTCTTGCCAAGCCAGGAGGGCGTGTGGTTGCAGCTGCGATGGGCACAGGATAGGCACGGCCAGGAAAGGTGACGCCCCCCGATCTTGGATAGGCCCTCGTCACCGCGGCCAGAGTCCCCTCAGCGCCCTGATCAGAACGCACCCGTGGATCACCGAGCACGTTCCACTTTTCTCGCAAAGTGCCTACTCGCAAACGTTTGAACAAATAACAGTTCTGTGCCTCCATGTTATATATCGTACATCCCCGCGGCGGATCCAGGCCATTTGCGAGCAGTTACTTCGCGAGTAGAGGAACGCGCTCGCTTGTCTAGTGGAGTGAGAGAACCGACGTGGGCGGCGACGTCTCGGCATTCGTTTCGGCTCCAGTGGACCTCGTCGCCGAAGCTGGCCAGGGCTCGGGCGGGGTTAGGACGATGATATATCCCGGGCGGGGTTAGGACGATGATATATCCGTTCCAGGGCGTTCAGGAACGCTCTCAGAGCTTTCCGGAACGCTCTGAGAAGGCCGCGGCGCCCGATGTATCCTCCAGAGCCGCCGGATGTTAGAGATTCCCGATCTGTCCTCAGCCGATGTTATATCGTCGTCCCGGCTTTTCTTAAGGGTGGACCCCAGGGGGGGCTCCCAGGGCCCGAGTTCCTGGGATGGCTTCCGATGGGGGCAGGTATTCGGGGTCAGCGATAGGGGGGATAGGCATAGGGTCAAATCGGGCCAGTCCTTCTACAGTAGGAATATTCAACTAGATTCAAAAAGATAGTCAGGGGACGATTGTTTTAGCATGTTTTTCTATGTTTGAGCATGTTGTGACCATTTTTTATTTGTCGTCCACAATCCCCCTGTAGGGGGACACGCCCGACCTGAGCATAGGGGGTACGCATCGACCCCCAACTCGCCCATTGACCTCCGGCAGGGGCCCGATGGCCCCCACTTGCCAAGGAGGGTGCGGACTTCCCATCGGGGGCCCGTCGTCGACCCCTCGGCGAGGTACCGCCGATTCCAGGTCGACGTTTCCCCCCCGATGCTTCCGTAGCAGATCATGGAAGTTTTTTTTTATTCTAGATTTCGTCATAAAGGGAGGGGGGGTCTCATTTCGGGGGGGGGTCTCTTCCAGGCTATCTTGGAGAGCCTGGGGGGTCTGGGGGCGATGTTTTGGAGGGTTCTCCCACGGGGGGAGGTCTGAAAGGGCTTGTCTTGGAGGGTCCAGACCCCCTCCCTTTTCATTACGAAATCTGGAGTACCCTCTGAATTCCGCTTTCAGCGGCGATCAGCGTCTGGGAGTCGTCGAGATAGCGGCGGTCTAGCGTCGGTCAGCTTCGGGCAGCGTCGATGATTCGCCGATGAGCCTCGACTAGCGTCGACTCGCATCGATTCGCAGGAGCCGACAGGATGGTATGGGAGGCCCCCATGAGTTGGCACCGAACTATGCGTAAGTCGGGCGTGTCCCTCTACAGGAGGACTGTTCACAAGTAGTCCAAAATATAGCCTGCGCGTTTCCTCCAAGATCCGCCTGTAGGGAGACACGCCCGACTTAAAACTACAGTGCCGATTTTAATCCATGCTCCGCGTGCGGATCATGTATTAAACATGCAAGGATTTAGTACTCAGGACAACGATGAGTTCATGCGTAAATCTACTCACAAACTAATCCTGCATTACAAATCCGATATTTTTACAAAAATCCCATGTATTAAACCCTGCCCTGTATGCCAGTCCCCCCCCCCCCTATCGTTGCCGCTCGGGGGATCGAAAGGGGGCCGGGCCGACCCGCTGCGCCTGCGGCCCCGCGCCCAGCCCTTCTCCCTTTTGAAGAGGGGGGCCCTGGCGCAGGGGGGCCCCTGCCCGGCAGCCAGCACAACAGCACAGAGGGCAAACAACCGACACACACACAAACGAAAAATCCGCATGTAGGGGGGCACGCCCGACTTCAGAAACTATGCCAGTCCCCCCCCCCCCCCTTTCGTTGCCGCTCGGGGGATCGAAAGGGGGCCGGGCCGGCCCTCTGCGCCTGCGGCCCCGTGCGCGGCCCCCCTCCCTCTTTTGGAGAGGGGGGCCCTGGCGCAGGGGGGCCCCTGCCCGGCAGCCAACACAACAGCACAGAGAGCAAACTTTATCTTGATTCGCGGGTCGAGAGCGCACCTCTTCCGGTCGAAGCTAAGCGGGCCGCGCGGAGCTTGAATTAACAGAGGGGGGAAGGCGGAAGGAGGGGCCTCACGTCAAGGCCAGGAGGGGGCAAAACCCCGGACACAGGCGGTGCCGAAGACGATGTGCTGGCAAAGGAACGCCCTGTACACAGGAACCCGCACAGAGAGCAAACAACCAACACACACACAAGCAAAAAATATGCAGAAACAACAGCCAAACACAAGAAGCAGCACAGCACAGGAGTCAGACATCCGAGCCGACAACACAGAAGTACAACACACATCAGCACAACACCAACCACAACAAAAACGAAATAAGCAACACAAACAAAAACCAATAAAGCACCCGAACGTCAACAAAACAGAACAAACACCAGCAGCCAAGCAAAACACGCCAAGATTTGAGGAGCGCCTCGGGTTCCGAGGGGGCTCGTTGCTCCTCCGGTCCTTGCACGGCTGCTCCGCCAACGCTCCCCGTGCACCCGGTGCTGTGCCTGACTGGCGTTTCTTTTGTGATGGCGGCTGCCCCCCCCCAACCCGGAGCTTGGCCCGCCCCCCCCCTCGGCACCGCCCCCGGCGGTGTTCCCCCCGCGGCGGCCCCCAGAGGAGGAGGAAGAAAAAGAGGAGGAGGAGGAGGAGGAGGAGGAGGAGGAGGAGGATGGAGCCGGAGGAGGAGGAGGAGGAGAGAGGAGAGGAGCGATGGAGGAGGAGGAGGAGGAGGAGGAGGAGGTGAGGAGGAGGGGGAGGGAGAGAGGAGAGGAGGAGGAGGAGGGAGGAGGGGAGGAGGAGGAGGGAGGAGGAGGAGGGGAGGAGGAGGAGGAGGAGGAGGAGGAGGAGGAGGAGGAGGAGGAGGAGGAGGAGGAGGAGGAGGAGGAGAGGAGGAGGAGGAGGAGGAGGAGGAGGAGGAGGAGGAGGAGGAGGAGGAGGAGGGGAGGGAGGAGGAGGAGAGGAGGAGGAGGAGGAGGAGGAGGAGGAGGAGGAGGGGGAGGGGGAGGAGGAGAGGAGGAGGAGGAGGGAGAGAAGAAGAAGAGAGGAGGAGGAGGAGGAGGAGGAGGAGGAGGAGGAGGAGGGAGGAGGAGTAGGAGGAGGAGGAGGGAGGAGGAGGAGGGCTCCGCACGAGGGCGAGGGCCGGGCCCGGGGCGGGGGCAGGCGGAGGCCGGCTCCCGCGGGGGCCTCGGGGAGCGCACGCGGCCCCGAGCCCCGTCGAGCAGCTTGGGGTTAAGTCGGGCTTGTCCCCCTACACCGAAAATAACAAATAATTACAATAAGAAAAAATAAGAATAAAAGTCCCCCTGGTTAGGGGGGGTTTTATTTTTATCGAAAATCCCACTGCAGGGGTCATTTCGATTAAAAATACAAGATACACCAAAAATAATCAGAAAATCGTCAAACAAATAGTCGGGGGGACTATTTGGGGGTATTTGTTTTGCCTTTGGGGAGCCTTTGGGGGGTATTTTTTGTTTTTCATCGAAAATCCCCTTGTAGGGGGACAGGCCCGACATAAGCATAGGGGGAGGAGGGGCGGCGATTCCCCTCCGGAGCCGGTGCAGATCAGAGTGGCATCCGTCGGGAGCCTCGAGGCGGGGGTCAAGGCAAACATCACCACCCACCAAACCACCCCAACCCAACCCGAAGGCCTCAATTTGCCCTCCATTTCCAGTGGGGGAGGGGGGGGGGAACATTGAGAAAACACATATGGAACTCGTACCCCCCCAACCCGAAATTCGGGTCTTCGGGTTGGGTTGGGGTGGTCTGGTAGGTAGTCAAAACAGGGGTCAGCCAGGGCACCTGATCCTGCAGGATCCTGCGACTACCCCCTCTGGCTGACCCGGGTTGGCGAGCCGCTCGTGGCCGCGAGGCGGCCGCGCAGATTGGCTGACCCAGGTCTGCGAAGACCTGCGTTGCAGTTGTTTTTGTTCCTGCGTTGCAGCTTTTGGTTTCCTGCTGACCCGGGTCTGGATTGACCCGGGTCAGAAGATCCCCGAATCCGCTCCATCCCATCGGCAGTGTTTCGGCTCTGCTTGACTTCGGGTGGGCCAAGAGGGGCTGCATTCGCAGCGTGCTTCGCGGTTGCCCTCCGGCGCGAAGAGTGAGCGGGGGATGTTCTGAAGTAGAACGGTAAGGGTAACGAGGAGCAAAGGAGGCTGGAGAGGCAGGGGGAGGCCGGGTGGCAGAGCAGCAGGGCATGTGGGGGAAGACGAAAGAGCAGAGGGGCACGGAGAAGTGGGAAGAGACGGAGCAGGTCCATGAGATGCACGAGAAGAAGAGGAGTGATACAATGAATGGGAAGGATGATGATGATGATGATGATGATGATGATGATGATGATGATGATGATGATGATGATGATGATGATGATGATGATGATGATGAGGCGGACAAGTGTGAGAATCAGGAGCAGGGTATGACGGGAACGCGACTTGCGATATCCAGGAAAGAGATCTGCTTCTTGATGGTGGCAGCCGCTTGGTAGCAAGGCGCCTGCGAGCCGCCGCTTCCACGGCGTGTGCACTTGTGTCATTTGTCGATCGAGCATCCGACCGCATTTAGAGAGCAGTCACTTCCATCCACTGCAGTGAAGAAGGACATGGTTCTCGTGCCTTCGGTTAGGGCGGCCGACAAGGGGTCAGCGTTCTGCGGCACTTCGTTAAGAAGCGAGGCGTGCGACGCAGTCCGGCGCCCTGGGGCCCAACGCGCTGCGGCCACCCGAGGGGGAGGAGTTCCGTGCGCTCGGCGGGCGCGCTTCCAAGCTGGAGCTCGAGGATGGGAGCAGGGAGGCCAAGGTCGGGCAGGCCTAGGATGAGGCCATGCCGCTCGAGAGCGTTCCGGAGCGCCCGATGCAGCTTGCACGTCCGTTTGTCTGCAGCGATCCCCAAGTTGTCCTCATCAGTGTTGTCCTCACCCTGTCCTCCTGTCTTGCAGGACAGAGTTTTACTAACAGAGCCGAGGAGCAGCACATCCTGCTCAGGAGCCGCGGGCCCGGTTGCTCACCACAGCTCTGAGCCTCCAGGCCGCGCGGCCTTCGGACCCATCGGGCCTGGATGGACAGACCCTCGGCAGAGAGAGGAGGCGAGTGTCGTCTGTCCGTGGGGGGCGGCTGGCTGCCATGCGGGGTGCGCATGCAACGCCCGGCCGCCCCCGCCTCTTCCAGGGAGGGGGGGAGAGAAGGGGGTAGGTCTAGGCCTCCTAGATGGGGTCGGAGTAGACTGGGTAGGAGGATTGTGCCCCATCGCCGATGCATCGCCGATGCAACTCGATGTGGAGCCTGATTTGATTCACGTTGACGTCGCCGATGCATCACCAATATCGACGATGCGTCGCCGATGCATCGCCGATGCATCGCCGATGCATCACTGATACATCGGTGACGCATTGGCGATCTGGTGCGATCCTCCGACCCCACCTCGGACGCCTCTAGTAGGGCCAGGGGGAGGAGGACAAGGGGGCAGCAAAGTTGCGCGCAGCAAGGTCCCTCAGAACGAAGCGTCGGCACGATCAGACAATTGGAAGCGTCGACTGCCGGCGGCGGCCAGTGCCCTCGAGGGCGGAGTTTCAGCAGGCGTAGACATCGCAGTCAAACGCCACGTCGGTTTGGGATCCGTTGTCGGCCCTCACGAGCACTCGTTACATTCACATGGAACTTTGGCCTTGGTCAATGGTGGAGTTTGTTGTGTTTAAGTATGTTGATAGTCCGTATTCGTCTGATGGGGAGGGGATCCAAGATGAGCGAGGGAAGAAGATGGGAGAATTCTTACATGTTTCTCCGAAGCCGTTCGTTTGGTCCGCGGGGTCCAACTCCTTCCTTCAAAGGTCTCAAAGCCTACCGATCGTCTCGAAGTTGCGCGGGGTGGTTGTTTGAGATAGTAGGCATACATGTCGAGTCGATCGCTGTCGGGAGTTTGATGCTTTCTTTTGTTTCGAACGAGCTGGTGAGGTCATTGAGACGTGCACCAGAGTAGCGGATTTCCAGAGGGCCCACCAGAGGCGGCGCCAGGGTGTTGAGAGCGCCCTGGATTACTCGGGAGCCTTCCTGGGGCCAGCTGGGACTACCTGGGGGGGGGGTCTGTCTGCGGGCAGCCCGAAGCCTTACCAGTTCAAACCCGTGTTCTCTCCCTCCTCCCTGCCCTTCCCCCCTTCCCTCCCCCCTTCTGCTCCTCCTCCTCCTCCTCCTTCTCCTCCTTCCCCTTCTTCCCTTCCTCCCTTCTCCCTGCCCTTCCCTCCTGCCCTTCCCCCTACCCCTTCTCCCTTTTCTGGCCCGCCTGCAGGCCGCAGCCGCGGGCCGCGCGGGCAAGGCTCGGCCTGGCGCTGCTGGCCTGCACGGCCGTGGCGGCGTGCGCGATCGCCCGGCACGGCGGCGGCCAGGAAGGCCTGCGCTGGGCGGTTTTTCGCGCGGGCGGGGAGCCCTCCGCACATGCTTAACGGCGACGAGACCATTCAACTATACCATAGCGGCGACGAGACCATTCAACTATACCAATCTTGATATACACAGATATGCACACGTACGTATAGGTACCGTATTACTTATATGTGCGCACGCACACCCCAATGTGCACACGCACTGCTCTGGATGGAGATACATGGGTATTAGGTTAAGATGCGCACGCCCACTTGTGAGATCGCCCTGTCCACATGCCGCTCGTTTGCCTCCGAGTGTCAGCAAGGGCCGTCTCCGATATGTTCGTGCTCAAGCTTGAAGGGGCCACGCCCATGCTTGCTGCCCTCCCCCCTCTCCTCAGATACGAGTCCCAGATCGCTGTGTCGTACCCTCCGCGCTGCCCATCGACGCCGCCTTGCCCTGGCTGCCCGACCTGTCCAGCGATTCGCCCCTGTCCATCGTGTGCGGCGTGCCTAGGCGCCCGAGCGCCGATCGTCCAGGAGTGCCCCGTCGCTGGGGCGGCTCGCGCCGAGGTTTCCAGCCCGTCGGGCTGGAGCGTCGAGTGGGTGTTGCTGCTCAGCGTGCTGAGTTTTGTAGTGGGGACCGGTGCCAGCTGTGTGTTGGGCCAGACCTGCGAGTTCTGCCTGGCGCGACGCGCTGCTCACGGACCCGCTGCCGATCACGATGGTATCAGCCCAGCCCGATCGACGGGTGTGGCGCGTCGGCGACCCGCTCTGGCATCAGCGCCTGGTGTTGGGTCACGTGCGGCGGCTGGCACCGATGCCGATTGAACCGTGGCGTCTGGTCATCTGCATCCACGATGGCGGCGTGTACGACGAAGACTACTCGGGCTTGGCGTCCGACATTCCGGCGACCCGCGCGTGTCACAATCAGGCTCGCCCTCTTGGGATCACGGTCCAGGCCAGCTGCCTTGAGTCCCTGGTGGTGGGGCCGGCGGGCGTGACGGTCGCTCCTGCTGCGGGCGGGCTGCGATCGAGGCGGCTCCGGCTGCGGCGCCGGGCGCGGCCATCGCGGGGGCCTTTGCTGTTGTGGCGCCAGCGGTCGCCGCCGTCGCCGTCGTCGTCGAGGCCCCGGCGGCCGCGGCGTTATTGTGGGCGGCGATCGAGAGCACGACTTTCGCCAAGCGCGGCAAGGTGGTCACGCTTCCGGCCAACGCCATGGTGCAGGGTGACCTAACGATTGTGCAGACTCCGGGTTGCCAGAGCATCGCCTTCTGGAACATCCGTGACATGGACGCCTCAGTCTACGTTATTTTGGGCGGGTCAGGGATTCGGGTGTTTTCGACTGTTCGGCTTTCATGTTGGCCAGGCCGCGTCGCTGTTTTTGGGATGACATTTGCAAAGAGCTGTTGGAGCCCCTCTACCCGACATGGATTGTCCCCGGGCCGCGCATTGTGAAGTGGTGTGCGGAATGGCTTGATCGACGTTAGATGATGCCTGTGGCCCGCTACCGTCAGTTCCTGAACGCGTTCGGTGCCAAGGCCGATTCGTGGGGAGCGGAGAGATGCATGGCACGGCGCTGCGCGTGGTTGACGAGACTGCGTGCTACGACGGCGCCGACATCAGCGACCTGGCGGGCATCGGGAGCCTGCGGAAGGAACAGCTGACAGAGTACATGGACTGGATGGATTCGATCGGCGCGGCTGAAAAGTGTGGCGGTAAAGGCAAGAATGTGCCGAACAGCTCGACCGTTACCTTCGTCGGACTCGCGGACGAGGCCGCCATATAGTCGGGCCTCAGAAAAGGCAGGCTCGGCGACGGCGTGTCCCGCATTGCTCGATCACGTCCCTCGAAAATCGAGAAAGATGCAGCAATTCTCAAACAAGTCCAGAAAGCCAATGAGGAGCGGGCTGCGCCTCACAGGAAACAGTGGCCTTTTTCACGAGGCGGCCTGGAGGATGCTCCTAGTTCAGCGCTGGACTTAGAGAGAGCCCTTGGGTCAAGCACCTACGTGACCTTTTCCGACCTCGTCGTCCAGTGGCTCGTCTATTGAGCGACAGCATGATTTCCTTTTTCTCCCCCTCGCGAGCCTGCGTGGGACAGGCTGCCCGTCTTCGTCAGTTTTTGTTCTGCCTGGTCGCAGGCGTCATCTCCGTCGGGCTTAGTCTTGTCGTCTCGCTGTGGATATCGAGTCGAGTCTTAATCAATGTTTTCCGGGAGGGAACCCTGGAGTCAGGCTTGTTTTCTCCCGGCGCGGCTCAGCTCGAGGCGCGTCGCTTCGTCCGCCGTTCCGTGACTCGTCTTGGGCCTCCTTTTCAGGATCTGTTCAGTCGCGGGGCACTTAGTGAGCTCTGCGGCCGGCGTTCCGGTGGAGAGCCGGCTACCTTGGTGTCGCTCGGCCCAGACAGTGTCAGGGTTTTCGACTTACCCGCCTCCTGGAGTTTTCCTCGGCCCATGCGGGGCGCGCTGTGTCCAGTGGGTGTGGTTTTTTCTTTAAATTTCTTAGCGGGATTGTTCCCGAGCGCCGTCCGCGCAAAATGATGGCCCGCGAGTGCCCAATCGGGCCTTGCGCGGACCCTGCCCACTTCCAGACGATGCGCTACCGAAAATTTTCGGTTGTGAGTTTGCATAATGGGGAGCGACCGAAAACCAAAACGAGCGGTCCAATCCCAGTATTGCAAGGCGAAGTGCGCGTGATGCCCGTAGTGGGATTCAGATTCGGGATCTCGGTATCTCGCGACCGATTATTTGGCATGCTCGCTCTCGAAAACCGACGGCGCGAGCGTCCTCCATCTACAGTATTTCGCGACCGATCCTTGCGCCCTTCGATCTCGCGTAAATCGCGTTTTGGAACATATGCGCGTCAAACGTTTGATTGCCAATCGTGGCAACCATTTGCTGCGCACGTGCGCATGTAATAGTAAACGATTAAACCACGAACTAAACCATGAACTACATTAGACAGGGTTAACTAAACTATTAAGCCGAAGTGCTCTCTACACTAAACTAATTACAACTGTACAAACTAAGCTACTTACTAAACTACCACTTGCCCAGCGCATGAATGTTCTAAGATATTAACCGACGGCTGCCTTTTTTCCAGTCGGCCGCAGCTTCGATGTACAACCCGCCTTTCTGACGACACTACGGAAAATAACAACTGGAGAGGAAACGTCCGCATGATCAGCATCACCCCCACAATCCTGATTCTGCCATTGACACCGCCGTCAGTCACGCATTCAATATCATCGTCGACATCATCGTGGCCGTCATCTCCACCGTTCTCAGCACCATAATAATTGTCACTGTAGCGTTTCGCTTCACTGTTCTCGTATTCATCATGTTCACATTCGTTTTCATCACTATAGCATCATCGAACTCATCATCCGCAGCATCTTCCTCATCATCGCCATTGCAACCTGCATGGTTTTGATTATCACTGCCACACTCATTGCTGCACATCACAACCATATTTTGAAGGGCCAGATTCGCAATCATCACGGCCCATATTGTCAAACATCAGTCATTGGCACCATCCACGACCTGCTCCTAAACAAAGTGTTCCTCCTCTTGCGGGTCATCCTTATCCACGTGGTGGTCCCCTTCTTGCTTCGAATCCTCCCCCCTCTACTGTCGCTGCCTTCGTATCATTACTCGTCACATTGACTATGAGCAGCCCTTCATCCAGTTTGTAGCTTCGGGTCGCAATGCTTCGAGGAAGTCTCAAGCGGGATCCCCGAGATCTCATCATTGTCAGGCAGTCACGCATCCGAGGGAGGGCGGCACAGGCGTCCTGAAAACTCCCAAGACGTTGCACGTCGGAGACCCCAAACAGCGAATTCTTTACGCTTCGCGTATCCCCACCAGCCCATCTCACAGCAGCAACTCTTGCGAAGCATGCCGACAGTCGTGTTTTTCAGGCGTGTGTCCGCTTGGCCCCGCATATCTCCCCTGATCCTCCTTCCTCCCGCCTCCCTGTGGGGGGAGCGAGAGAAGGACGAGGCGGAGGAGGAGGGAGAGAAAGCGCTCCTCGTGATTTGAGTCGTTTGGGGTTTCTCGTCCTGGTGTGAGTCGTTCGGGCCCTTCTTCCTGGTGTGAGTCGTTCGGGCTCTTCGTGGTGTGAGTCGTTCGGGCTCTTCGTCCTGGTGTGAGTCGTTCGGGCTTCTCGTGGTGTGAGTTGTTCGGGCCCCTCATCCTGGTGTGAGTCGTTCGGGCCCCTCCTCCTGGTGTGACTCGTTCGGGCTCCTCGTGGTGTGAGCCGTTCGGGGCCCGCGTCGTGGTGTGAGTCGTTCGGGCTCCTCGTGGTGTGAGTCGTTCGGGCGCCTCGTCCTGGTGTGAGTCGTTCGGGCCCCTCCTCTTCGTGGTGTGAGTCGTTCGGGTCTGTCGTCCTGGTGTGAGTCGTTCGGGCTCCTCGTTGGGCCTGTTGGGGGCCTCTTGGAGCCTCTTGGGGCCTCCTGGGGGCCTCTTGGGGGCCTCTTGGGGGCCTCTTGGGGGCCTCTTGGGGCCTCTTGGGGCCTCTGGGCGGCCTCTGGGGGGCCTCTGGGGGACCTCTTGGGGCCTCTGGGCGGCCTCTTGGGGGCCTCCTGGAGGCCTCTTGGGAGCCTCCTGGGGGCCTCTTGGGGCCATTTGGGGGCCTCTTGCGACCTCCTCAGAAGCGCAAAGGAGAGCTGCCCCCGGAGAAGGACAAAATGAGCCCAAAACCTTCGTAAAATCAATGATTCTGCTAAGAAGGAAGAGGAACGCGGCCCCCTCAGAAGGCCAAAATGGGGCCAAAACCCTAGTAAAATCAATGTTGTTTACTTCAACGACGAGTTCAGGGACCAAACTCCCTCCCCCCCCTCGGGGCCAGAATCCTCGTGAGGGTCGTCGTCTTTTGGCCCTCCCAGGAGTCGAAAAAGACCCCTCCAACGACCCGCGGGGCGCCCTCTCCAGGCCCAGGGGGAGGGGGTAGGGGGAGGGGTAAACCCCTCCCCAAAGGGGAAGAAGGGGGGTTGAGGACAGAGAGAGCTCTCTAAACCACTCACGCCC